TTTTTTAACCTTTGAAGCCGCTGCAAATTCAAATATCTTTCATATTAATTAATGTAGGCCTCATAAAGAAGGATATATATTCCCATTCATATTTTCTTAAGAAGATATGGAATACACGGAGTGGCCTTTTGAGGAGGGATTTTCTACTGATTTTGAATATTCTTTATGGGTATAATGTGGTGTAGCGCGATGCTGTTCATATTTTCAGAGTAGCGCGAAAATGTAGCGCACATTGAAGCGAGTTTTTTTGCACAACTCTGAAGTAGAGTAACATTGTAGAGCAACATTGCTACATGTAGCACGATACTTCTCATATCTTCTGACTAGTGCGGAAATGTAGGGCAATACTGAAGCCAGTTTTTTCGCACAACTCTAAAATAGAATAGCATTGTAGCGCAACATTAGACTTGTTGTTATAGAGTTTTTTTTATTATATTTTAAATTTTAAAGTTTTTGAAGTCTCTCTATTAATAAAACTTCTCAACATATTTATGTGCAAAAAAACACACTTAATGATTAAAAAATAGTATTGCCACATAAACGTTATTATCTAGATATAAAGCAATAATATAATCTTATTTGTTATTCATCTTTAATTAGGAGAAAAACTAACATATACACTTATGTGAATGGCACACCAAGTAATAAAAATAAAAGATGCACTAATTAAATTATATTAGTCAGTACAACACCTTGATAAAAAAGTAGTGCGATGGAATTAAGAGTATCTCCAATCGTGTTTGGATTGCTCCATTTTGATGCTTTTACATGGGACATGGCACAAAAAAATTTATTTGCCGTAAAAAAAATCTAGAAATCTTTTCAGATGTATAAGTACTTCTCGACAACTTATATTATATATTAATATTATGGAGTATTATTTATTCAGTTTCTCTTTCTTCTCCATCTAGTTATAATTTTATACATGTCGAATTAAATCAGCTTTAACATTAATCAATGGAGACATAATTTTATATAATCTTCTTTTTTCGTGTCGCATGACACGCAAAATGAACTACTTGCCATTAGAGATGCTTTTATAGTTCAAAAAATATTACATTTAATATATTGAGAAGCACTTTTTATGTGAACAAGTGGGACACGAATCATCAACATTCTTCGAATTTGTAATCAATGTCATATATATATTATTATATTATACACACATATAATATTTTTTTTTTATTTTATTTTTTACAGATTTTACAACTTCAATATAATTTTCATCTAAATTTGACCATTTCCATGAACATAAAAAGAAATCTAATATTAAAGGCAAAAGAATGGAACATAAATAAAAGGTAAATAAATATTTGTAAAGGAGAAAAGCTGATCAGACAATAAATTTAAACTTATGCTAATTCGAAATTTGATTTGTAAATGCATTGTGTACAGTTCATCTCTAACACATACATAAATTTTATGCTAATTGAAATTTTGATTTAAAAACCAATTCATTTGCTAATATTTTGATTTAAAAACCAATTCATTTACAACACATAGAAAGAGAGTGTAAACTAATACAGTAAATATAAATTTTCTATTCAATACCGTTTTTATTTAAAAAATAATTATATAAATTATATTCCTCTAATTTTAATCAAACGATTTTGTACAGTTCATTTCTAACACATCCCAACAGACTTAACAGTTCATTAAGAAAAATTACATAATTTCTATTCCTCTAATTTTAATTTTAGTAAGTACAATTTATTTCTAACACATACATTTTTATTTGAAAATACAGACTAAGTAATGTTCATTTTTGACACATAAAAATAAAATGTAAACCATACATACAAATTTTCTACTCTTACGTTTTTATTAAAAAGAAAAATTATATAAATTACATTTATCTAGTTTTAATCACACGATCTTGTACAGTTAATTTCTAATGAATTACCGTTCATTAATAAAAATTACATAAATTCTATTTGTCTAATTTTGGTCGTTAATTTCTAATAAATTACAGTTCATTAATAAAAATTACATGAATTCTATATATCTAATTTTGATCACTCGTGTACAATTTAATTCTATCCCATCCAAAAATTTATTTTGATTTGAAAATACAGACTAAGTACAGTTTATTTCTAACACATAAAAAAAAGTAAAAGTGTAAACCAATACAGTAAATATAAATTTGATTTAAAAATACAGATTAAGTACATACAGTAAAAAGAAAGTGTATTGGTTTGATTTGAAAAGACAGACTACATACAGTTTACTTATAACGCATAAAGATACAGTTTACTTATAACGCATAAAGAGAAAGTGTAACCTAATACAGTAAAAATAATTTTTTGACTCAATGTCATGATATGTTTTTATTTAAAAGAAAAATTACATAAATTCTATTCCTTTAATTTTAGTTGCACGATCTTGTAAAAATAAAAGTTCGAAAATCTTTTCTTCCTCCCATTTTATCTATATAAATAGCATTAGTTCCTCCCATATTTTTACCGATTAATCATATTTTACATTTATTCATATTTTACAACTTATAACAAAAAAAAATGGCTTTTCAATCTTCTGATAACCAGGATAGTAGCATTGATCAGAACCATCAGGTACATTAGCACAAAGTTACATAAAGTTCTATTTTAGTGCACATAAATATAATTATGTGTTTTTTTGATGTTCAGATACATTAATGAAAAGTTCTATAAAGTCCTAAGTTATTGCACATAAATAAAATTTTGTGATTTTTTGATGTTCATATAAAATTGTGAAACAAAAGTTTTTTTTTTTTTTTTTTTNNNNTTAAGTGGTCTGAAGAGTTTCAATGCGAAATCGTGGACGGTGTACTCGCACCCACGCCGATTTCTTATAGCTACACTCCATTTGCTTATAATCAGGTATGTTTTATTTATGCTCTTTTTATTTAATCAATTTTATACAAAAATATAAATGAAATTTCCATTATTATTTATTTATATGTTTATATTAGTATGTATTATTTTTTTGAAGATAATTATTATTATTATTTATTTATTTATTTATTGCAGCAAACACCACAACCAATGGCAAGATCAGATCATGTTGAGGGTGCAGAGGCAAGTACACAAATTCTCTAATCTTTCTAACATACAGTGAACAATATTATTGTGCATAATTAGTGTTGAAGAGCGCCAATATCTAGAATTCAAAAGAAAACATATATAGAAGGAAATAAAAAATCTAATTAAAGGCAATTCTCATGCTATTTAACAAATTAATATAAATACTTGATTTTCCATACCAGCTACAAGGAATCCAAAGCGGCGAATCTTCAAGTAACAAACCGCGCAATAAACGCAAGAGCGAAGGAGACGAGCCATTGTCTTTTCGACTCTTCAAGTTTATGAATGGTGCTGAAGAATACCTCATCGAAGTCCATGAGGTGTATATATCTAATAACTCACATATCTGTGATATTTTGTCTCTTAATTTGTGTTTTATTTCAAAGTTGTTAATGTAAAATGTGTGGATATATATACATATATAGGTCATAACAGGTATCACTAGTCGATCACATATACGAGTGATCGAACATGAAGGCGCATGGCGTATGACATCTACCGGAGGTGATGACCTAGGAACCCATATGTTGCAACCGTGGTCGGAGGATCCAAACCCTCCTTTATTCGTCAAGAATTCGGAGGCCTCACTGCAGGAGCGTCTAACCGGTTGGACGCTTGAGAAAAGGCAAAGATCTAATGGAAAACATGATATGGTACTACACTACATACACATATGCAAATATCAAAAGAAT